CATTATGGAAGCATAAGAAAGAAGGAAATGGAAACAAAAAAAAGTCTAAAACAAGATTGAAGTACAGATTTTGAAGCAATTTATTAGCATTTCTCAGTTGCTTAAACACATAGGAACAAGCCATAAAAACTAAAGTGATCTCACTAATGCTTGAGAAAGCACTGGCTCCAATTAGAAGAACATAACAGCAAACTAAACTTGGATTTCATATAAGTAAAGGTTATAATATTGTATCATTTTCTGATATAAATACCCCTCTTTGAAAACAGATTGTTGCATGTGCACCACACTTAGTAAGGATTACACCTTTCAATACAAAAGTATTACAGCATATATGTAACAGCTGAAACCTGCCAATTACTGCTTTTGTTTAGTAGCAACTCATCTAACAAGCTACTTCAAAAGAAAAGAACCATTCAATAATATTTCCTACTACTATTGAGAATGCATTCTTTTTGTACATCGGATTTTTAAACACCAAACCACCTGTTTCCACTTGGAATACAAGTAGTCAGAAGCTTTAGTATAATGAGGCTCGGCATCTCTAGGAGTTTTCATAACAGAATTCTCTTTGCTTTGTCGAAGGGGATTATTAGATGATTACAGATAAAAGGTTTTATCTACCAAATTACTAATAAATCCTTGCTTAGAATTTTTAGAAGGAATACAGGCAGAACTGTGCATTTAAGTATGCATACAATTATACTAGTGGTAATGAAACAAAACAGCTTAAAAAACATTGAAAATGTAAAGTTGTTCTTCCAGCCCCTTACAAGCACCATCTTTTTCATTCTCACCTCTGGTTGGTTCTACTTTTAAAACAGAAAACAAAGCATGCTAACTTGTGACAGCTAAAGAGGTACCAACTTCAATGATGCTAATAGTAGGTTCTCTCATAGCAGTTACAAAAAGATATGATAGCAATCTGAAGAACTTTCATCCTCTTTGCGTCAAACATCTTCGGTGTTCCCAGCAAAGGAAATCAGCGGTAGCTATCATGGCAGCTGACTAGATGAGTAATGATGTCGATCTGACCAGACAACGGTAACCGTAGCAACTGTAACCTGCAATTCCTGCATAACCATTGTTGGATTTATTGTGGCAGGGGCCAAGAAGGCCAAGAGTAAAATGAAGTAGAGAACTATGGTGTCTGACACATCTAGTACCACACACTTTAATCATAGCTGGCAGAAATTAATTCAGGAGGAATTTTTTTTTTTTTTTTGCAAGGGCTCACCATGCAGTTTTCTGCTTTTATGCTTAGCTACAAGGATCTTAAGCTACTAAGTGGACATCACTAAACTAGGTGTTTCTTATAGTCAGATTACACTAAGACCTTTTCCTTTAAATATGTGAAATGTCTTATTTCAAATATACTTTTTAAGTATGCTAATGGTAGAAAGGAAAGGTGTATAGCGGAACAGAAGGCTTGGTACCTAGATTAAGTTTAAAATTATCCCCTGCAAAGTCATTATTCAGTCATTATAGCTCAATTTAAACAAATTTCTGAATCAGCAGCTCGGGCATGAAACTCTTCCTCATCCCAACTTCTAAAAAAAAATTGTTGAAATCAAAACGTACAGGTTTTGTGCACAGAATTCTTTATCATGTTCATGCTACCACCTAAAAAGGTATCTTTTAAAGCCAAACTCTCAAAGAGTTAGGACATAGCTCTTGGTATCCTGCAGCAAATGGCAATGCAATGAACTGTGATCTAACAAGCCAAATTAAGTAGTCAAAATCTATTTGCCTCAGATAAACCCATTAGTCCGTAATAGTTCTTTATTTTAAAGATACTATTGCTGACGCTAGACAAGCCAGTGTCAGTAGGCAAATGGGTTGTTGGAAACAATGCAGGCTGTTCTTGCAATGAAAAATACTTTTTGAACAATGGCGTCATACAAAAAAGTTTAAATATTACCCAACAGGACCCACACTAATGTATCTATACACTACTATTTTGTCAAAATCCTTATTCTACAAGAAATAAACATTTTCAAGCTCTTCTTGAAAAATCAAGAAACTAAAATTATACAAAATTATTCAATATACCTAAAAGTATTTATAATTAAAAAAAAAACACCAAAAACCAGTACGGCCAAATGGAGTTTTATGCCAAACCATCTTTCCAGTTCAATTCTAAATAGGTTAAAATAGTTTAAGTAAAATATTTCCTATCTTCAGGAGTTTTCTTGGAAGATTATTTTCCTCCAGCATTAACTATCTGAAAAATACAAACTAGATTTCCAAAATAGAGAATATTCAGTCAGACAAAATTATGTACTGTATCTTTTAAATTCTCAACCTATCGCTTTCCTTTACTTACACTTCCCATCTGTCAACAAGTGCTTGTAATTTTATTACAGTGTCCTGTAGTTTATGCAGAGTTGGTATTATTTTACAGAGTTCTGTTAATGGACTGGATAAATGGTAATGCTATTTAAACTAGTCTCCTGCTCCAACAAACACAGCTGCAACTGTACTACTATTTCTGAGCAAACATCTTGACCTGAACATGCAGTGCTCTCTCAACCCATCCAAAGAGAAATTGGAGCAGACAGCAAAGGGAAAGCATAGCTGGCCGCTGGCGGCAACCAACCATGTCTAATCATAATTCATATACAGTGTACCCTCGCTCTTTTATATTGCATTTAGGCTACACAACAAGCATATGTGCTTCTTCACCTGGCATCTCATTTACAGTCAAGGGTCAAATGGTAATTATCATTCACAGAAGCTAAACAGCATACTGAGAAACTTAACCAATACACACTAATGTATTAGCTATTAAGGTTTTTTAATTGGGAAAATTAGATACCAAAGTGTTACATATTTAAGTGTCCTTGTATAGACAATTTTGATTCTCCTTTTTTCAGAGACTATAGCTTGGTATGTATGTGTGTATGTAGGAGTTTCTACACGTACACACGAAGTTTAAAACAAAAACAAAACAAATACACACAACTCGTTCCTGGTATGGTGGAGAAGCTGTATAAAATCCAAAGCCTCCTGATTATGAACAACCAACATACATCATTCCTAAACAAATGCCTACTTTTAGCTGTATGCTTAATTAAGTCAGAACAGCAAATGATATATTTCAGTACAGTTAGTGTATTTTTAAAACATGCATATGTTATAACCAGACATTCACTTTCATGGTCTGATCAACAATAACCCTGGGGCAGAAGACATTTAATACTGTTAAGCCAACCATCTCTTACTTTCCACCAGATACACCATGTGTATTTGTGTGTTCTATATCCAAAAGAAAAGGATAGATACTTGTTTTAAAACTTAAGTGTACAATTCTAAATAAAGAATATTCAAATTTGAGTATGCCTTAAATGTACATCCATTTTAATCTGTAAATTATCTTATTGCTATTTCAAATGGAATAAGATTGAACAAACATTAACCTAAAGGTGGAATAAAATAGAACACCCATACACCTTTCACCCTTCCTGATATGGAAGTACAAAATTTCAGGTTTAAGGTTTCCATGCTTGCTAGGGATTCTTTTTTAAATGGTTGAATTACTAACTTGTAATATATACTGCACACATATTGTAATATTTGAGAGGTGTGTACTCTAATTTTGTTAGCTAAAGGAAGGAATTTGCTGGAGCAGAACCCCTTAGCATACTGCTGTCTAGTAATCAACAAGTGTTTTATCTACAGAAAAAGCTTTTGATACAAAAACAAACATACATCAAAAGCAAGAGGCAGATAGTAGGCAAGTATATGATACTAATGTGTGTGGCTACAATTTAGGCATTTTAAGACTCCTTTTTTCACATTAGAAAGGAAGGTGAATGAATCATTTAAGGAAATTAGAACAGAAGTCAACTTCCAAAAATGAAACCTTCATTATGAAAAATTACCTGACCCACTTCAGTTTCAAGAACATCATGAACTGGAGTGAATTTGATCAGATAGCTATCCTATCTTCCCTCATTTTCCAACCACATAAGGAAATATCGGGAAAATATATCCTCCTGACTACTGATTGCATACTGAGGAATTGAATATCATTTGTTAGTTCGTCAAACTATTTTGTCCATTTAACCTATAACAATTCCAGCAGAACAGTCTCATGTGAAGCCTACAATGAAATATCAAGAACGTGTCTTTGAAACAAGCTTCAAATTATGTGTTTTTTCAGACATGCTGTTTTCTCTTCGGTCCTACATACTATGATTAAATTAAAGTTATCTTGAAATTTTATTAAAATAATCAGAAGAAACGGCTTTGTGTTAGGTTATTTATCTAAGTCTACTCCACATTCATATTATAAAAGGAAAATAATTAGATTCCAGAACATCATTGGCTGAAACGTCAACATTCCAATTTAAATTATTAACCATACAATAGAATCAAAAGCAACACTGATACACTGCGCTTTATATAGCTGCTAGCTAAAAATGTTAACATTTTGTACTTTTCATTTTAGTAATCTGACAAAACAGTAGGTTACCAGTGTAGCAACAAGTATGCAAGATGGCAACACAGATATACTTTAGTAAGTAAGTGGACTGTTTTTTAGTCCAACACATGCCATATATAAATACAGAATATTCCAGAAACAAAATTATGAACAGCCTTTGTGTAATATCACTGGGCCAATACTTCTAAAGCCATTACTTTTGGGGTTTTTGCTCTTTGTTGAAAGACAGAAGTAAAAAGTTAGGGGAAAACCAGCCTATTCTTCCACCAAAAGCTTATTTAAAGGTTTAGAAGGGGGGAGGGGAAGAGAGAGAAGAGACAGATCAGAGTTTGTGTATCGGAGATAAAAAATGAAAACTGGAGAGTAATCAAAGAAAATACTAAATTAAAATAACGTACATTGTTCTTGACAAGGTAAAAATAAGTAGCACACTTCAGAAACCACCTATCCACACCCACCTCTATAGAGTGGGAGTGTGAGTGAGAGTTTAAAAAGGCACATTGTGTAGGACTTGCAAGGTTTCCAAAATCAATAATGGATTTGGACTACTTACAGCCTGTATAGTTTAGGAGTCCCCAGAAACAGCAACTCAGAAAGCAGCTGAAGATTATTTCTGTTTAGACGCCTTTTGAGAGAAAGAAAATAAAAGTTAGGTTACAACTAAGACAATAGCAATCAAATGCAAACATTTTGTACAAACACGCCTGTGCTACAACAAACTGAAGAGAAAGCACAGAAGAGGTATGCTTGATCCACTAGTGGAGACATGGTCCAGTAGTAACTTTACCATGGGCTGATTATGTTTTCTGGTAACCTTGCCTTTCATTTTATGAAAGACCATTTTCAATTTAAGGAGTCTAGCTTAATCACCAAGTTGGGACTCTAGGCCATATAATCAAAAATCAGCACAAAAAGGTACAGTTTCTCCACCATCTCTGTAGTGTGGAGTAGCGGATACAAACATGCTGTGACCAACATTATCCAAAAGCACATTATATACATTGCACACATATGCATCACTGCATACAAGTTATGTGATAATGTAATGTAATTAAAGATCCATACAGTGTGACTGTGCAAAGAGGCAGAGATAAGGCTGCCATGGAAACCTTACTTTCTTGACTTCCATGTAATTAAAATCAACTTACACTTTGTACTAAATAGTTTTCAATATAACTGTGTTTCTTATAAGACTATGAAAGTAAATGGGAACATTTGGCATGGGGGAGAGACTTGAACAAACATGTACTGTATAGGAGGAAAAACTGTAGCTGGAATCTGGAAGAGATCTCTTTGCATATGAGGTCTCACTCAGCTACTAAGGTCAACCCAGCTTAGTCTATAAAATGACAAGTTCAAAACCCATAGTAGTACGGCTGGAGATAATCCACTGCCAACTACAACGTGACATGACAAATATATACAATTTTTTTTTAGATTTACAATTAAGATCATTTTTGCTATTACAGAGTAATAGCAGCTCTCGATCAAGTAGTCAAATAATGCAATATATTAAGTCCAAGACAGTTTATTTAAGAAAAAAGCCACAGGCAAAGCCAGGCACATACAAACTTGTAAGCCTATTTCTTTGCAAGAAACGCATCATTAGTCCTTACATTGCAATTTACAAAGACTCACAATTTATTCATCCCAGGTTACACTTGCACACCTGCATGGTGTTAGCTGAGGCTCTGTTTTATGGCACTAGCATTAAGTTTATGTAAGTCACTAGACACCAGCAGACTGAAAAAGGTATTGAATAGTGCTTGCACAAAAGAAGATTCTAAATCTTATAGCAGGCATAGCTTCCTAAAGGTACATCTAAATCTTCTTGATGTAACGAAATTCACTTTCTTCAGTTCTCATTTTGATTGTCTGAAAGAACCTGTATTATTCTCGTAGCTCCTTCCTGAACCCTTTCAAATTTGTCAGCATACTTAAATTCACTTACTGTGTATGCTCCAAATATAGTTTAAGGCTCCAATCTTGTGAAGAATACACGTGGACAACTACTCCAGTCAACCAAGCACGAGAAGTCAGTCAAGCTTTTATAGACCAACGACATTTCACAGTCACATGGCATCATTCAGAAGAAATTGGGGAGAATTTGGTAGGAGGTTGTTGAGAGAGTGGGAAGGGCAGAATTTAGCATAGTGATATGTGAAGTGTGGAAATTCAGTTTGAGGAAAGAAACACAAAGTTCATCTGACCCTTCACAACTCTTGATGTACAAAATAGGAGCTCTGAAACTACAATTCATATGATCCAAATTTTCCATTGACTTCAATATATGTTTGTGCGTTCCTTGTTATCAAGTTTTGTATTGAATTATCAAAATAGGTTAATACATGGCATTTCTGCACTTCTGCTTTTAATTCCCCCCAAAAACAAGCATAGAAGCATGCAAAAAAAATGAAAGGACAGCTATCTGACATTTCCTCAACTTCAAATAAATGTGGTTTTAGTTGTTCCTCTTGTTTTAAAAATGAAGTTCATAACAGAAGTGATAATTGGAAAGGGTTAACAAAATGTAACTTTTTGGGAAGAGTTTAGATAGAAAACAGGAATGTATTAAAAACATAACAGGCAGGTGTTAAAAAATAAAACTATTTTAAAAAAGTGGAAGTTCAGCATTAAGTCAAGCAGCAATAATGTGGGAATAAAAGTACAAAATGGAAGTTTGGCCTGTGGTTAAATAAAAACAAAAAAAGTTTTCTGTATCGCTTTGCTTCTCTCCCTCTTTTTGAAAGTTGTAGACTTGGGGCTTAATCCTGCAAATCCATATTTACAGATAAAAAAAAATCAATGGAATAACTTGCATTAGTAAGGACAACTCATACGTTCAAGTGCTTGTAGGATCAAGCTTCTATGACTAAGCTATTCAGGGCAGAGTTTTCTAGTCTTGCATTTCTTTTAAAGCACCTCTCACAATTTGGGGTCATTATATAACATATATATAATGAATCAGTTGCTCCATTTCTGACTTAGAACAAAAGCACAATTTTAACTTTTAATAGAATGTAGATATAGCAATACTAGTATAGAAATAAAATCCAGTTATTACATTGCCATATATATATATATTTTATTTTAAACACAGTAGAAGCTTTGTCAATCTTATCAGTCTGATAATTTTTTTAACAGACAAGGTGGGTGAGGCAATATCTTTTATTGAACAAACTTCTGTTGGTGAGAGACAAGCTTTCAAGCTCCACAGAGCTCCTTCTTCAGACCAGACCTGAATAGGTCTGAAGAGCTTGAAAGCTCCTCTTTTCCTCGCCTCTCCACCAACATGGCTACAACACTGCAAATAAAAAAGACATGCCAGTTAAATGACAATCCTGAGTATTCAAGACTGACATTTACAATCATTTTGTGCTCATTACTTTTAAAAAACATCTTAGCACTGTAAAAGCATTCCTATAAAAGGATCTCCAAGCATTTTACAAACAAACATTCAGCATTTAAGCCTTGCCAATAGCATTTATAATTCACACAGCACTCAAAAATATGCTAGGTACTTTATAGATAAAGTAAATGACACAAATGGTGTCCACAGAATTTGAATTGTAGAATCTGTGTGACATTAATAAAAGAGTGGCCACTAATTGAGAACAATAAGGCAAAGGGAGGATAAGAGATATATATTGGTACACTTAAATTTATAAAAGAGACACACTGGTCATGGATCCAGTTAAGACTGAGTTGTGTCACATTTAAAACAAGGATTCAGCTTTTGTTATGCATGAAGAATAGTGTCTTCCCAAAAATTACAGCATTTCCTATTTGAGCACCAAATTAATTGAGAATTTACAAGTAAATCCATTAGCTTTACAGAGTGATTTTTTTTAAAGTCAATCCTTTGTCCTGAATTCTTAACCCAGGCATTCTCTAGCTATACAAATCAGTACAGAGGTGGATTTTGAGTAGATATAGTGCAATAGATATCCTTTTCAAGAACTATGTCCTCTTGAAAGACCAGAGGCTGAAGAATAACGTTCTTGAAAAGCAACTCATAATTAACCACTTTCTAAATGGCTGCCACTTCCTATTGTGGTCTGTTTTTGACAAGAGGTTGTTCTTAGCAAATATGGTAACCACCTCTTCTCCCCAACTCCTTACAGTGCTCCTTTCTGCCTCCTGACAGTGAGGGTGCTACTATCTTCCCTGAAGGCCATTTGTCTTCACTCCCACTTGAAACAGAAGGAGGCAGTGTCGATCTTTATATTGAGGCCACAGATTGCCCTTATCAATAAGTTAAGGTGGACATCTTCAGAGATCAATTCTTTGAGAGTTTCTCTAAAGGAGATAATTGTGAGCCAGACTCCACTGAGAGAGAATCTTTCAATTATGAAGATAAGCAAAAAAAGTTACCCTTAATGCTAAATATGCCTGTTAGACTACCTGGCCCTCAGAAGTACTCAAAAGGAAAGGCATAAAGTGAAACTGAGGACTCAGGGGAAAGCACAGGAATATGGCAAAGACGATAGAGGGGAATTTGGAATGTACACTTCATCTACTTTGTGCTGCTCTGGCACTACAAACAGCAATAAATATTGCTTAAATAGCTAGCACATTCCACCTGGTTTGTGCTCCTGCAGAGCGATACAAAACAGCCACAGGTACCCAAGGGAATCTGACCCTGAAAGTTTAAATTTAAAGTTACTGTGGGGTAGGTGTGGTTCTTCCAGCTGTTAGTGTGGATCCCACTGTAGGTGTGCCTGCACTTCATACATGTGAAATCGGTTTGTTTTGTTTGCTAATAGTGTCCATCAGGGCTGCACACGTACCCTGTACCTCCTTGTGCACCTGTGTGAGGGTATAAATGGCAGAGTGGCTGCAACCCTTCCTCAGTTCATTTGCAATTCAAAGCTCATGGTAGCGGAGGACTCTGAAAAATGGGGATGGAAGGTGGGACATGGGTTGCACACTGATTAAGTCATCTCAGAAAAACCACAGTTACTGAAGGGTAATTAACCATTCTCTTTGTCAAGTATGTGTCAGTGTAGATTCCACTGCAGTATCCCCTGAGGATAGTGGAAATGAGGAGTATCAGCTGCATCAGTTGAACAGTGATTGTAGGATAGGATTGCTCTTCCAAATTTGGCATCTGACTTCACAGCTAAATCCAAGACAGTGTTTAACCCACTGATGTGTGTTAACTGCACACTGCTGCCTTACAGATTTCTAATATTGGCACATTCCAGAAGCAAGTGGAGGAAGCTGCTTGTGCTTTGGTGGAGAGAGCCTTGATATTTGGCAGGAGATTCACACCAGCAAACTGGTAACAGAGGAGACATACCGTGTAATCCATTTTGATGTTTCTCATCTCAAAGATTGACCTTTAGAACACCCAACTATAGCTCAAAATATATGGGACAGTCTGAATGCTTTATTCCTGTCAATATAATAAAACAGAATCCTGGGTACACCTAATGTGTGTCATTTCTTTTCAGTGCCAAATGTGCTTTTGAGAAGACAGATCAGCTGAATCATCTGTTTTAAGTTCTGTGACAACCTGAAATTCATCCCTAAGGTAATGTCTTAGCACCACCCTGTCCTTATGGAATACTATATAGTAAGATTTAGTCAGAGCCTGAAGCTCAGTCATTTTGTCTTCCTAGTTGCTATCATTTCAGTCAGTCATCAGAGATGGCATAAGAAGCAGTCAGCAGCTCAAATGGAGATTCCATGAGTCTCAAGAGGCCTATACTGAGGTCCAGCTAGAACTGGGTTATTTGACAGGCAGGTGTGTAGTAATCCTCTAAGGGACTTCACAGCTCAGGCCTGGTCTACACTACGACTTTAATTCAGATTTAGCAGCGTTAAATCGAATTAACCCTGCACCCGTCCACACAACGAAGCCATTTAATTCAAAATAAAGGGCTCTTTAAATCGATTTCAACGAGGAGTAGCGCCAAAATCGATTTTATCATTTCGAATTAGGGTTAGTGTGGCCGCAATTCGATGGTATTGGCCTCCGGGAGCTATCCCACAGTGCACCATTGTGACCGCTCTGGACAGCAATCTGAACTCAGATGCACTGGCCAGGTAGACAGGAAAAGCCCCACGAACATTTGAATTTCATTTCCTGTTTGCCCAGCGTGGAGAGCACAGGTAACCATGCAGGCCGATAATGGAAAAAGAGCACCAGCATGGACCGTACGGGAGGTACTGGATCTGATCGCTATAAGGGGAGAGGATTCAGTGCTAGCAGAACTTCGTTCAGAAAGATGAAATGCCAAAACTTTTGAAAAAATCTCCAAGGGCATGGAGAGAGGCCACAATAGGGTCTCAGATCAGTGCCGCGTGAAAGTCAAGGAGCTCAGACAA